CCGCCCCCACCCCCGCCCGCACCCCCCCGCCCCTGCCTCTCTCTTCTGGTCCCTCCCCTGCAGGTGTCTGCCCTTCTGCTTCACCCTCAGAATGCCCTGGCACCTGCACCTTCCCTTACCCCTGCACCCTCCTGGTGCCTCCCCCTTCCCTCACTGCCCTTGCTCCCTTTGACCTCTTTTTCCCTGATGCTCACCCCCTCACCTCCCTCTTTCCCCCGTTCCCCCACACATGCCTTGTTCCATCTCCACCTTCCTCATGCCCACCCCTTCTTTCAAGTCTTCTCCCAGCACTTCCCCTCACCCCTCTAGCCCCCAATGCCCTTCCCCTCTCCTCTCCCAGCATCACTCTGTCGTCCCCCCACTGACACCTCCCCTCTTGCCCTTTTCCTAATTGTCTCCACTTGGCCCCCTGGCATTTGCCTCTCCTCTACCATCTCCCTTAGCACTTTCCCCTGTCTTCTCCTGACCTGCCCCCTCCCTTCAGCACAATCCCCTTCCTCTCCCACCCCTTCCTCTTAGTTTTTCCCCTTCCCTTCCTTACCTTCGGCTTCTGCCTTCCAATTCGCGGGGCTGGAGTCAGAGCTGGCCCAAGCTACAGGCCGGCCCAGCGGGGGACAAGGTTCTGGGGCAGGGTGCTAGTGGGGGGCAGGGAGTCCCCTACACCAGCCTCGGAGAGAAGCCTCCACTGCGCGCTGCTTCCGGGGCTGAGCCCCGCGCGGAGGAAAGAAGCCTAGTTGCGCGCTCCCTCCCGCCAAGCAGGGAAGCCCGAGCACGCGGCCCCTCAAGGCCTGACCCCCTCCTCCCCAGGCCAGCTGCGCTGCACCCGGTCCCCTACCCGGGGAACTCACCGCACTTGACGGGGCAGCAGGGTGACGTTGCTGCGTCCCTGCCGCCTCTTTCCGCGGGGTCCTAAGACTTGCTGGTTTTGACCGCGCAGCCATGCATGCGCGACAATCCCGGCACGGCGCCCGTTCCCCAGAGCGCCGAAGCGTCGCTCCTTCTAGTGTGGGGGCTCACATCCCTGCACCACGGGCGGTCCTTTGAAACATTAGGGTGTGCCTGTGCACACCCAGTTCACCCCGTGCGCACGCCTATGTCCCAGATGGAGAAGCAGCCAGGCCAAATTCATAAAATCTTAAGACTGGAAGGGATCTTGCGAGGTCAAGTCCAGTCCCCTGCATCCATGGCAAGACCAAGCACCATCTAGGCCATCCCTGAGATAAGGTGTTTGTCTAACCTGTTCTTAAAAGTCTCCAGTGATGGTTCCACAACTTCCCTAGGCAGTTTATCCCAGTGCTTAACCACTTTGACATTAGGAAGTTTTTCCTAAAGTCCAACCTAAGCCTCTCTGTGACAGTCTTACCATCTCCACTCCCCAAGTGTCTTATGAGAACTGGCTTGTGAATATGAATATGCATAATTTGAAAATGCTTTAGACAATATGCCTCATGTAACGTTTCAATTTTAATGTTACAATCTGCTGAATGTGTATATCCTAAATTTGTGCATGTATCATTCTTGTGCATAAAGTTAGAAATATGAAGCGTGGATCTGTTCATAATTCTAAATGTGTTAATGGAGGGCCATCACTGATGCCCCAAAAACCTAATGGCTTGGTGATCAACTCAACCACCTGTTAATAGTCTTGTTTGTCTTGTAAGCCCAAACTGTGGTTCAGCCCAAAAAGGTATGTGACCTTACCACCTGCTACTGGAATCCATCTTGAACCTGGTATTTTTCCATGGAATTGGGGAATGTCAAAGGATTCTTGCCCTGAGGGAAAGTCTATTTAAGCTACGGGAAGCAATCAGCTTTTGTCTTTAGCTGGCTTTTGAAACCCCAAATAAATCCACCTTACTCTGTGTAAAAAGTTTTACACAGAGAAAGCTTATAAAGGACTTTATCAATGAAAGAGAGATATGCATAATTTTGTTGGACTAAAATTGGCTGGTGACAGGGGGCTAACAATAGAGGTTCATTAATTTTTTATGAAGGACAACTGGACTGACTAATTCAGGGGAAATCAGTTTTTCAAAACTGGACACCTCAGAAGTGGCAACTGAACAACAGATCACCTTGTGTTTGAGGCTAACCAGAAGATCACATGGCACAGGTGACTGAAGGAGATAAAGGACTGGGTTCTGCATGCAGCAAATATTTCTCAAGTGGAGCAATTATCTTTTCCTTGGATCTGAAGTTCTTTTGTGCTAACTTAAGTAAAACAGATTTGTGTTTAGAATTCTTTGAGAAGCCTGTGTGTACACTTCACCAAATACATTATCTTGGAAAATTAAACTGTAAACACAGACCACCCACAAGGTAGAACTCTGGGAAAAAAAGTGCTCCTAGGAAACCTGAGGGGTCAGCAATGGTCCTGGGGATGCAAGGCCCATATGCATGAAGGGATGAGAGAGAAACACCTTGTATTTAGGAAATGTCAGAGGCCAAGAGACAGGGCTGCAGCCTACTGAGATCTAGAAATGATTACGGGCTAGTGTATCGGGACACAACACAACAGCTTGGTGAGTATGCAGCACAGGAACTTTTATCAGGGCCATTTGTAATCCTGGTGATTTTGGATGACTTCAAATTGTGCAAACAAAAATGAAAAGGGGCCTGATTTTCAGAAAGTGCTGAATGTGTATCCTCTGAAAATCAGGCCCTTTATGATGAGAAATCATAGAATCCCAGGGCTGGAAGAGACCTCAGGAGGTCATCGAGTCCAGCCACCTGCCCAAAACATACTAGTCACTTCCAAAATATTGGTCTCAAATCTCATTTAATATTCTCTGCTCTACTGGAGAGCTGGGTATGAGAGTTAATCAGAATATCACAAAGCTGTTCAAAATACAGAATGCACTTTCAAACACAATGTTTAGAAAATACAACAAAATGTTATTTACCAGATATTTACAGATACCATTCTGGAGGATGTCAAAACACTGACTTCGTGAAGGTATAGTGGACAAGCTGTGGCATACCACCTGTTTAAATGAAAGAAAACAGTTATATTTATGAAATCTCACATGGATAGCTGACAGGCAAATATATTATTGCACATACATCCTCTGTGTAGACATATGAATACATGGGCACATGTGATTGATCCTTTTTAAAAGTTGCAAAAGTAGAACTGAATAATTTATCTTTTTAACATTCACAACTTAAAGTCAAATAGCAGCAACTGTGTGTTTGCTGTCATTTTCTCCTTTTATCAAAAAGTTCCTTACACTAACTTTTCAGGATTCCTATAAAGAAAAAAGAAAAATCCGACTATAAAAATATAGGCAGGCCCCACCTTTGCCCCTTTTTAGGGAAACATCCCAAGCAATTCTCCAAAAAAATCTATACAAGTTGGTAACTCAATAAAAACACTCATCACGGAGGGAGGGAGAGAGGACAACAAGGGAAGTGTATTACAGAAAGACACATCCCATTTTGCCTTCCCCACCCGACAAAAGAATGTCATATTCTGTGGATATAAAAAGCAGCAACAAAAAAGAGACATCTTGCTTTATAAATGGTATGAAACACTTTATGCTCACATAACCAAAAAGCAGGAACAATGACACACAAAGGTGACAGAGTCAATCTTCACAGTAGTATAACTGCATCATCCACAAAAGAATTCCTAGGAGAAGTTAAAATACACAGACCCATAAAAGCAGACTGGATTCTTATTCAGAAAAAGAGCCTTTAGTGTTTTAAGGGAAAATGCCTGGGTCAGAAATCACCACGTACAAATAAAACAGCAGAAAAGCGATTTTCGGGGATGCTAGAAATATGATACAATGGCCAGACGACTGGAATGGGAGTCAGGAGACCTGGATTCTATTCCAACCTCTGCCAAAAATCTGTTGTGTGACCTTGGGAAAGTTACTTGACCTCTCTGAGCCTGTCTCCCATCACATACTTTGTCTGCCTCCATCTATTTAGCTTGTAAACTCTTTGGAGGAACCACTGTTGTACTAATTTAGATTAAATAAATGCACCAATGATGTTCATATAACCCAGTCACTGTCCATCATTAATCAATATCAAACAAGATTGGAGCCATCACTGTCCACAGGAAAGTTTGGGGCAACCTCCTCACGCTCCATTCGTTGAGGTAAAAAATATCGGTTAATTAAATAATTGAGTAACCTCATGAATTCATATTGATTAGTCAACTACTCTATAGTACCAGGAGGCAGAGCCAGCAGCCAGTGTGCTTTGGCCCCACTCCCAAGTTGCCCTCTGCCACTCCTTGCTGCTGCCTCTGTATCAGAGGCAGCAGTGTGGGGTGCCAGGCAGGAGTTGGTCTACGAGGGGAGCCAATTTAAAAACCAGCTCCCCTCACGGACTGGCTGCCTATCACCCCATGCTGCTGCCTGATACAGAGCATAGCTCTGAATACACTTTAAATGCAGAGCCGTAGCAGTGGTAGGTCCCAGACTCGTCGGAAGCCAGGACTTAGCCAGCTGGCCAGCCTGCTAAAAAATTTACTTGGTGGGGAGGAAATGTATGTAGTCGATAGCATTAACCTATAAGCTTTTGCTTATCAGTTAATTGACTACATGATGACATACCTACTTTGGGGGCCCTTAAAGGGCCAGGCGGGTTATCAGCGGACCTAGCACAAGCAGTGGGGGGGTGGACCCATTCCTATACTCGCTGGCAGCAACAGGAAATGGAGTGACCCAGCCCCAGCCTGCTTCACTCCCCAGCTCTCAACCACATTACTTAGGGGAGGGAGCTTAGGAAAAGGGGTGGGACTGCCCCCGCACTCACCAGTCGTGGTAGGAAACAGTGAAATGGCTGTGAGCTGCTGGAGTGGAACCAACTAGGGTCACATAGCTCTGCTTCCCACTGCCATCAGTGACTGAGGAGTTGGGCCCAACATCTGTTGCTGGCACTTCACTGGTCTTCTGGGCCATGTTGCCCAGGGGAAGAGGTGGAATGGGGACAAGGAGAGGGCAGATCTGTACCAGGGCAGAGTTGTACCAGGGCAGAGCAGGCACAGGAAGATAGGCGGCAGGGTGGGAGTTGGGGGAAGTGGTGGAGTGGGGACAGAACAGGGGTGAAAAGAGTCAGGGTGAGAGTGGAGCCTGGAGCAGAGGGGTGATGGCTTGAGCCTCCAATTTCCAGAAATAGACTTCTAGATTCTGGAGGTCCTCAGTTAATGCTTTCTTAATGTCATGGAGATTTGATACTTCAATTATCACAGCAAGATCGTCTGCATATCCAAATTTTCATGATTTAGTTGCAGCCACATAACTTATGGTTCACTTAAGATTTTACTTCATTTGACTCTATGCTTTCTTTTACATATAGTGCCATTTCTCCACCAGCATAACCTATTCTGTCCTATTGATATATTTTGTATCCTGGTATCATCTTGTCCCATTATGTTCATTCCACCAAGTTTCAAGCTTCTGTAATGCCTATATCAGTATCCGCTTTTAAAATGAGGCATTCTAGTTCATCCATTTTAGGCATTATTTTACATTTTAGGCATTATACTAGAATTTGTGTATAAGCACTTAAAAACGTTATCAATTTTTAGCTGCCATTATGTAATATAACTGAATGGGTTTCTTTCATTCGAGATGTTAAGTAGCAGTTAATTAACAAATCAAGTAGTCAATGGAATTTCCATCAACTACTTGATTAGTCAATAAGGGAGGGGGGGCTCACTACCCCCACTGTGGCTCTGCAGTTTAAATGGAGTAGGAGCCGGGCACATAGGCAGCCCAGCTCTTATTATATTTAAACTGCAGAGATTCTGTCATGGCTCCTTCCCCACTCTGGCATGATAAATGCAGAAGTGGGGGCCAGCAAAAGTACCCCAAAACCTTATCTACCAGGCTTTGGTATAAAACTTCCCCCAAAAATCTTAAAGTCCTAGATTTTGGGGATAAAATCCGCTGCCACCACCCCAATAATGCTAAAGAAACCAGGGAGAGACTACTTGGGAAATCTCACCCCTAGAATACAAACCAGGACACACAAATTAATCAATACCAGGTTAATAAAAAGACAAGAGAAAAAACTTATCACCACCACAATATTCCTGTTGCAAGCATAATGACTAGATGGAAAAGTCAAAGTAATATACTCATGGAGGGGAAACCCCAGATGCAGTGGGGTTAGCTCCCAGAGGCGGTGTGAGCTAGGACTGAGCAGTCACAGCTCACTCCGACCCCAGTTTAAATGTAGTAAGAGCCCAGAGGGCTCTTACTACATTTAAACTGCAGAGCCACTGCACAGCCACAGTAGGATTAACTGCCAGAGGCAGCACAAGCCAGGACTAAGCAGTCCCGGCTTGCGCCAACTCTGGGACCGCTGTGGCTCTGCCTCCCCTCCACTCCCCACCACACCGTGGAGATGGTGCTGGGGGGAACTGGCTTTTAAGCTAGCTCGCCAGCACCGGCTCCTGCTCCCCAACTTTGCTGCCTCTGATACAGAGGCAGCAAAGAGAGGGGAGGGGGCCAAGCAGTTGAGTAGTGACTCTACTACCCAATAAGTCTAGGTTTATTGGGTAGTTGACTACTTACATCCCTATTTTTCATTTGACCGTTTCTCATCAGATCTTACCCATGTTTTTTTATCATCTCTTCCTTACTAGGACACAGAGAATCTCCATTAATAAATCCTCTCCTAAGGACATTTCTGTCCAAACCACGTGCTCCTCTGCAAGTATCCTCTATGACCTTTTTAATTTTACATGCCAGCAATCCAACTCCATTTTGGTTTAGGTCAGGGGATGGCAACCTTTGGCTCTCAGTCCATCTGGGTAAATACACTGGCACAATTTATGAGGAAAAGTTGAAGGAATTGGGTTTATTTAAGTCTGCAGAAGAGAAGAAAGGTGTGGGGAAGGCTCCGATAGCAGCAAGAATGGAACTAGGGAATTATCAGTGGTGGCAGGTGACAGAACAAGGAGCAATGGTTTCAAGTTGCAATGATGGAGATCTAGGTTGGATATTAGGATAAAACTATTTCACTAAAAGGGTGGTGAAGTACTGGAATGTGTTACCTAAGCAGGTGATGAAATCTCCATCCTGGGGGCTGTGTCTACACTGGCCACTTATTCCGGAAAATCAGCCGCTTTTCCGGAATAACTTGCCAGCTGTCTACACTAGCCCCTTGAATTTCCGGAAAAGCACTGACGATCTACTGTAAAATCATCAGTCTTTTCCGAAAAAACTATGTTGCTCCCATTCAGGCAAAAGTCCTTTTCTGGAAAACTGTTCCAGAAAAGGGCCAGTGTAGACAGCACAGATTTCTTTTTCGCAAAAAAGCCCTGATCGCGAAAATGACCATCGGGGCTTTTTTGCGGAAAAGCGCGTCTACATTGGCACGGACGCTTTTCCGGAAAACGTGCTTTTCCGGAAAAGCATCCTGCCAATGTAGACGCGCTTTTCCCGGAAATACTTATAACGGAAAACTGTTCCATTTTAAGCATTTCCGGAAAATCATGCCAGTGTAGACGTAGCCTAGGGGTTTTTAGGGCCAGACTTGACAAAGCCCTGGCTGGAATAAAGACTATTTCTCCTTTGAGCAGTGGGGGTTGGACTAGATGACTCCCTGAGGTCCCCTCTAACCCTAATCTTCTATGATCTAATCCATTTTTCCTCAAACTGGACCAAACCAATGACTTTGAAAGAGCAAAAGATTTGTTTGAAATGAGCTGCCATTTGAGGTGTAGCCAGATGTGTCTTTCAACTGAGCTTTTCTGCATTGGAGTCATGGCTCCTCAGAGAACTGCTGAAGAATCCAAAATACCCCATGTGACCTCTACCCAAAATCCCTATGTGAGGTTCAGCTGCCCAAGAACAGGCTGGGCACAATTCATTCTCTGAAGACAGAAGCTAGTAAAAGCTGCCTCACATAGAGAATACCACTTTGAGTTAGTCCTGTGTTTATGGGGTAGCTATGCCTTGTGTGAGTGTGGACAAATTTGGCAGCGAATTTTTGCAATACTGGATTCAGATGGCTGAAA